ATTCCCCCCCCCCGAATTACTCTGACAAAAGCACATCAAATTGTTAAAAGTTTTAGAAGTTAAGAAAAATAAAGATGATGTTAAGAAAATTAAAGATGATGGAAGCAAATTTTTTAGAAAAAAAATAAATAAAAAAAAATGTGTATTGTATATTCTATTTTTACATTTTAAATTATTAATGCTAAGAGTAATTAGTTCTAATAATAAACATTTAGTTCGGTTATGATTTATTTTTCTTTTGTCAAGTCAAAACGATTTTTGGGGGACTTTTTTTTATTTATTTTTTTTAACACTTTTTTTTTTTGTGGAAACTGAGTGTGCACTGTGTTTCTCAGGTGAGGTGCCTATCCTGAACGTGAGCTACAAACCACAGAAGATCAGCCCCAAATTTAAAGTGAGTTTGAGTTCGTTTTGATCCGTATGATATACATCAGTCTGCAGGAATCGTGACGTTCGTTGTGTTTTCAGGGCAGCGTTCGAGCCCTGCTGCACGATAAGATCAGAGACGCGTACACACACCCTCAATTCGTCACTGACGTTATGAAGCCCATGCAGATTGAAAGCATCATCGACCAGGACGTGAGTACACCAGCGTTAAAAATAGCTCTAAAATATTTTATCGCCACATTGCACTGTTGTATTCCAAGTAGGCAGTATGTACATGTAATTAATGTTTACTTTCCGGTTGTTTGGTACAATAAAGGTCTTAAGGAGTTTGTCTTAGTCTTTACATTAAAATAAGGAATTGAATTGAATCTCATTAATTTAATTGTTCTGAATTTGAAAATTGTTCCTCAATTGTTGTTTTTTATACTTGGCTTTTATTTATCAAATTTTGTTTTTTCAGTTTTTGTAATTTTACTATTCGAACTTAAACTTACAATTAGTTGCCAAGGCAACATTTCTAATAAAAATGTTTAAGTTTATGTATGTATAATTTTAGAATTTCAACAAGTCTTAAATATATTTTCATCTTTATTTGAAATTTAATTCTATTATTATTTAACTGTGATTTATTTGATACTATTAAACCTTTAAAACTGTTGTAGAATTTAAAATTTAGAAAATTTTAAGTTTTTCAGTTTTTAATTTAATGTGAAGTTTTAGTAATTTTAGTTATCAGTTTTTAATATTTCCGTTTAGCTTTAGTTTTTTTCAGTTTTTCTAATTTTAGAAGTTTAACACCCTTAGTACTATTATAGTATTTATCAATATTTTGAATTGGCTTTTATTTTTATATTTTCATTCAGATTTTTTTATTTTAATTTTTTTGTAATTTTGTAATTTGTCTCGTTTTTCTATTTAATATTTCTATTTAACTTAAATAGTTTTTGTTAACAATAACAACACTTAAGTACACCACACAGTTTAATAGATTATTACATGCTTATTCAAACACACTGATTGTGTGTCTGTAGATCCAGAATCTGTCTGGCGGTGAGCTGCAGCGTGTGGCTTTGGCTCTGTGTTTAGGAAAACCTGCGGATGTGTATCTGATCGACGAGCCGTCTGCGTATCTGGACTCTGAGCAGCGTCTGATGGCTGCTAGGGTCATCAAACGGTAACATCTGCAACACTTTCATGGCAGTTTTTGTGTGTTGGATTCACTATTTCACTGATTCTTTTCTTTAATTGCTGTGCAGATTCATCCTTCACGCAAAGAAGACGGCATTTGTGGTGGAGCACGACTTCATCATGGCCACTTACCTAGCGGACCGAGTCATCGTCTTCGACGGAATTCCATCCAGAAGCACTACCGCCAATACGTACGTCCTTTATTTGCTCTGATAACCTGTGTGTAATTGGTATTACTTTTAAATGAACAAATGTATAGAAAATACATTTTCTGTATTCCAAGTATTGTATCATAAGTCTATGAACATGTAGGTGATTATGAAACTCATGTTAATGCTGAAATGTGTTTCCCATCAGTCCACAGACTCTGCTGGCTGGCATGAATAAGTTTTTATCGCAGCTGGAGATCACGTTCAGAAGAGACCCAAACAACTTCAGACCAAGAATTAACAAACTCAATTCCATTAAGGTAAACATGCACATTGAAACAACTCTGTACAAATGAAATCTGCAGATTGTTTTCTTCAGGATTACATTTAACCAGTGTTATTTTATGATCACTGAGAGAATATTATGGTTTTTATGAATATTTTGAATTAGGTTTTATTTTTATGTTATTTTTTTAATTTTAAAGTTTTAGTTTAGTCATTTTGTTTGACATTTTTATTCATTTTTAGATACGTCAATAGTTTTGTTTTTTTTTGTTTTTATGAAGTTTTACTTATTTTAGTATCAAAAATAAGTATTAAACTAAAAGAAAATGGGTCTTGGCAACTATATGAAATACAGTAAGTTTATTATTATTTTTTTATGTTTTATTTTATTTCAAGTATTTTTATGGTTTTAGTTTAACTATAATAACCCTGCATTTAACCCAAAATTTAGATACGTCAATAGTGTTTTTTTTTTTTTTTTTTATGAAGTTTTACTTATTTTAGTATCAGAAATAAGTATTAAACTAAAAGAAAATGGGTCTTGGCAACTATATGAAATACAGTAAGTTTATTATTATTTTTTTATGTTTTATTTTATTTCAAGTATTTTTATGGTTTTAGTTTAACTATAATAACCCTGCATTTAACCCAAAATTAATTAGGCTTTAGACTGAATTGACATCAACTCTTGATAATGAAGTTAAAATCAAGTAGTCAAGTCGTGTGTGTGTGTGTATTAGGGCTGCACGATATATCGAAATTATCAAAATATCGCAAATGAAAATATCGCAATATGCATATCGCAAGGGCGTGCGATATCTGAATCATTTTAATAATAGGCTACTTAAATCAAAATG